CCCCCCCCCCCCCCATCAGTTTCATTTTTAGCCACAGCTAACCCTATCCTCAGACAATTCTGAAGTTGTCGGTCCTTTGCCTTCCAACAACCCCAGGAGGAGATCCCCGAGGGATATCGTCCCTCCACAACGCCACTCTTCCACCCCCTCGAGATCCAGCCGCTCGAGCAACGGTCAAAACCACAGCGACCCTTCTTCCACACGCCAACACTCCGACGGCCCCATACATCCCGCATTTCAGAGTGGACAGTCTATCGACTGAAGTATGCACTCCCCCAGCTCAACATCCATTTCCACCAGTCCGACAGAAAAGCAAACTCTTCAAACTGCTCACGGCCGCTCGGCACTACACCTCCCTCGATCGCCGAGCCACCAGCGTCAGGTGCTACTTCGACGCCCAGACAAGCCCGGTCACTCACACCAGCCCCTCTAGAGGGCCAGTTCGTATCGCACCCCCTCCTTACACTCTCGGCACCAGGGATATCTCACCCTGCAGCCTCTTTTCCCCAATCTGCACTTCCAACCCACGCACACGCATCCTCTCATCCCAGCATCTTTTTCACTTCTCTCACTCCTGCCTTTCCATTCAACACAACACAGGCTATCGATCCCGATAACTACATGAACCTCGCCCAATTATCGAGCCATCCACACGCAATCCCCACATCTCCTGGGAATTGCTAAACAAGCTCAGTCGCTGCACTCAAACAGCCACTCCCCACCTGAGCAGACATCACCAGGCTCCACCTAATTCCCAGCCCGGACTACTCCACGAAGTACATAAGAATCGATCACACCACGTTCCCCATTCGCCTCGCAGGCGAAGAAGCCGGTCACCTAAGGCAGACATCACCAGCACCTCCAAGTCCTTACCACCGATCCCAACTACCGGTACCTTTTTTCGTTTCCTTCGGAAGGACGTGTATTACTCCGCCATGCGTCCGTCCAAGAGCAGCCTGAAAAAAATTCTTACCTGAATCCGGACAAACGTCTTGTCACCGCAACCTCTCGGTGCATCTCTTAATTCTACTGTCTTAATCACCACGGCCATTATCGTGCTACCTACTGCCACCCACTGGCACGGAAGAGTATTTAATTACGTAGCCAGCCACTATGTCGCAGGCCCAGATGCTCAACCATGGCCTTCTTCAAACCCAGCACACGGTCTAAACACTTGGCTTTTCTCCACCAGATAAATAGAATAAATAGATTAAACAAAATCCTCCTTGCCACACATCCCGTTAGTCCCCGCCGCCGTTACAAACCTCCATGACCACGTCACACTTGACTAAGCACGTAAACAGAGCTAAACTGACACCAGTTCCTCTCGGCATCTCCAACTTCCACGATGAACACATCACTAAGCCGGAAGACATCCAGCTTTTCACAGACGCAGCACCCTCAATCAGCTTCGACGGCTTCTACAGTGACAATCGGTCCTCGGCCGCTTGAATTCTCATCCCCCACACCTTCCTCCGCGATCTACGAAATGCATTCCATAGTCATAGTAGCCATTCTTTTGGGGCATGAACGGTCCATCAAGACCATTGCCATCCATTCGGAATATAGTGCTTAAATGGCTGCCCCTCACTTCGGACCTCCTCACCTGCGGCATCCTCACCCTCAGCTCAGGTCATCCGTCTCCCTTCACGGACAAAGCATTAAAGTGCACGTTCTTGCCAGCTTCTTTCGCTGCTCCGAGTTCACCGCCTTGGACTCCATCCGTCCCGACATGCCACCACGTTCGACATCACATCCATCCTCCCGACACAGTCGTCTATCGCCTCAAATGCTGCAAGACCAACCAATAAGGTCCACTTCAACCATCTACCGTTTCCGACCAGACTCATACTCGAGTCCGTACGAACCCATCCACGACTTAAACCCAGATTTCAGCCAGCCGAATTCCCCGCAAGATCCCTGTTGCAGTTTCGGGCTCACCACCACTTCCCCCATATCTTGGCCCGATCCAGAATACCCCCCGAGTTTTACTCGGCGCCGCCTCCACCTCTTCAAGCCAAGGAATTTCCAACCACACCCTCAAGATACGCGATCATCTGTCTTTCCCCACGTACCTCAGGTAAGTTCGTACCAACTCGAACGACTCCAGAAACGGCCATCGGCATCAGCCTTTATGGAGCTATCTTTTGGGGACTCTGCTCCGCCAGGGCTTCCGAAGAGATGGCCCCCACCCTACAGTCTCCAGTCGCCAGTTGCCGGACATCAACGGTCCCCCATCGATCGCCTAATCTCCTTTCTACAAACCCTCCTCATTTCTTCTTCCTGACATCCCTTCATCCCTCGACCCCTTCATCCCTCCATCCCTCGACCCCTTCATCCCTTCATCCCTCGACCCCTTCATCCCTTCATCCCTCGACCCCTTCATCCCTCGACCTCGACCCCCGCATCCCTTCCTCCCTACCCCCACATCCCATCATCCCTCTACCCCTACCCTATATCTATTTCATCCCTCGATCCCTTCCGCTTCTTGAATCTAACAATCTTTCCACTATGCAATAAGCCTCTCGAAACTCATACTGTTATTGGCGTGGTCCTTGTTAGTTAAATGTAGTTTTATAAATGTAGTTCAGGAACGGGGCCACGCCCAGAACACCGCTCATTTCCTCTGCACAGAGTATTTAAGCACAACAAACTCGTTCACTCCCTCTTCGACTCTCGTCTTCACATCCCTCCCCAACCCTTTTTGCCGTCCGATTTCTCTCTCTCTCCCTCCCTCTCTCTCTTGTAGGATTACAGGAACAACAGGGGACTCTGCTCCACCAGAGCTTCCGAAGAGATGGCCCCCACCCTACAGTCTCCAGTCCCCCCGTTCCCGCCAGTTGCCGGACATCAACGGTCCCCCAACCTCCTTTCTACAAACCCTCCTCGTTTCTTCTACCTGACATCCCTTCATCCCTCTACCCTACATCCCTTCATCCCTCTACCCTACAGCCCTTCATCCCTCTACCTCGACCCCTTCATCCCTCGACCCCTTGATCCCTCCACCCCTTGATCCCTCCACCCCTCGACCCCTTCATCCCTTCACCCCTCCATCCCTCAACCCCTACCCCCACATCCCTTCCTCCCTACCCCCACATCCCATCATCCCTCTACCCTACTCCCCTTCATCCCTCTACCCCTACCCTATATCTATTTCATCCCTCGATCCCTTCCGCTTCTTGAATCTAACAATCTTTCCACTATGCAATAAACCTCTCGAAACTCATACTGTTATTGGCGTGGTCCTTGTTAGTGAAATGTAGTTTTATAAATGTAGTTCAGGAACAGGGCCACGCCCAGAACACCGCTCATTTCCTCTGCACAGAGTATTTAAGCACAACGAACTCGTTCACTCCCTCTTCGACTCTCGTCTTCACATCCCTCCCCCCCAACCCCCTTTTTGTCATCCGATTTCTCTCTCTCCCTCTCTTGTAGGATTACAGGAACAACAGGGGACTCTGTTCCGCCAGAGCTTCCGAAGAGATGGCCCCCACCCTACAGTCTCCAGTTCCCCCGTTCCCGCCAGTTGCCGGACATCAACGGTCCCCCATCGATCGCCTAACCTCCTTTCTACAAACCCTCCTTGTTTCTTCTTCCTGACATCCCTTCATCCCTTTACCCCTTCATCCCTTGACCCCTTCATCCCTACCCCCACATCCCATCATCCCTCTACCCTACTCCCCATCATCCCTCTACCCTATATCTATTTCATCCCTCGATCCCTTCCGCTTCTTGAAGTGTGTGTGTGTGTGTGTGTGTGTGTAAATGAAAGCATCATGTTAAAGTAAATTAACACACACAGTCTCTCTCACACACAGTGAGGTGACAGACTCCAGTTGAAGTGTATACATATTTTTATTTGCAGTATTTTGGAATCATACAACATAAATAAAAGCTTTCATTACAATAATGTTCTCGTCTGCACCAGAACCATATATAACCAGGGTTACACTGACTCAGAGCCATATATAACCAGGGTTACACTGACCAGAACCATATATAACCAGAGTTACACTGCCCAGAACCATATATAACCAAGGTTACACAGACCAGAGCCATATATAACCAGGGTTACACTGACCAGAGCCATATATAACCAAGGTTACACAGACCAGAACCATATATAACCAGGGTTACACTGACTCAGAGCCATATATAACCAGGGTTACACTGACCAGAACCATATATAACCAGGGTTACACTGCCCAGAACCATATATAACCAAGGTTACACTGCCCAGAGCCATATATAACCAGGGTTACACTGACCAGAGCCATATATAACCAAGGTTACACGACCAGAACCATATATAACCAGGGTTACAGTGACCAGAGCCATATATAACCAGGGTTACACTGTCCAGGACCATATATAACCGATGTTACACAGACCAGAGCCATATATAACCAATGTTACACTGACCAGAACCATATATAACCAGGGTTACACTGAACAGAACCATATAACCAGGGTTCGGTCCTTTGCTGGTCTAACATTAGAACTGTCGGACATGATTGTCTCTGTGTGCTTCACAAGAACGACGACATCGACACTGAAAACAACTGAAGGAATAAATATTCTTCTTCCTGCTTCCTCCTGCTCTATGTACACTATTAACAGATCGCCTCCATCTTAAAAACCACCAACCAGCATCGTCCGGCTGCTGAGGAGCAAACAAACAGGACCTCAGAGACCAGGACCTGCAGGGGACCAGACCTGGGGAGGGGTTGTGGATTTAACTGATCAAACACCACAGAAGAAGAGCTAAATGTTTACATATCTTAAGATGATAACGAATGAATCTCAACTAAAGGGCTACTTACTACCTTCTTCCAGAGCTCTTGACCGTATGACACAGTCTTCATTCTCAGAATGAGTTGTGAGGAAACGACTGAAAGCTCTGGAACAAACACGAGTAAGTCGGCCTTGAGTTGTTTGTCAGGTTTAATCAATCAGGTGATTGATTTGATTATCAACTATTCTTTTGACTCCATCTGTCAGTTTAAATCTGATTAATCCGATTTAATAATTAATCTTTTCTGATAAACATGAAATCTTTTCTCGTATATATATTTATATATACATATATGTATATATAAATACATATATATATATAATAAAGTCCCTTTAGAGTTCAGGTAGATCTTTTATTTAACAGGACGCTCCACTCGGATGTTTTGGTTCATTTAAAAACAAGTAAAAACAACAGTGATGTATGGAGTATAAATAAATCAATGTATTAATAAATGTATAAATAAATGCTGAAATGAATACATAAGAGTTGATAGAGTTGAACAGGACATACATAAATAAATCTATTTCTATATTTCTGTTCACCTTCATTTCTGTATTTCTGCGTCCGTATGTTAATGAGGTGGGCGGTCCCAACCTCATTCTTAAGCAGGATTGGTCAAGTAGGGGAGCAAGACAGAAGCAACCGATTCCCAACAAATCGTCCCCGTAGACGACGTCAGATAACCATCTCGCAGCACTGACGGCGTCCTCGGTCTGCAGCTGGTCTGCTGCATGAGGCTGCTGTGAGAGCGACCGCCTGTGAGAGCTTTGGGGCGGCGGAGGCGCTCACGGCAGCACCTGCTGCTCGCTGAGGACAGTAACTGCAGAACGATACGTGCTTTCACGTCAGAGTCTCCAAAACACCAGAGAAAGTCTCTAGATTTGTTGCTAGTTGCTTTTGACAAAAAAAAGTTGCCAGGAGGATTTGGAAAGTCACCAGATTTAGCGAGAAAGTCGTCAATTTGGCAACTCTGGGCTAGTTCAACGTTACTGAGCAAGGCAGCAGTAGTGGACCAGAAGCATCGCACTCCTGTGACCAATCATTTATTTCAGCATTTAATTATTCTCTTATTTATTTTTCTGTATTCAAACATTTATTAATGCATTTATTAATTTATTTATTTATACTTAAGTCATATTCTCTCCTCCATACACATGATGAGTCAGTGCAAAAACATCCTCCCTCCTCTTCCTCCTCTTCTCCTGCAGTCAGTAGTTCAACTCCTCTTCCTCTTCTCCTCTCCTCATCTTCCTCCTCTTCCTCCTGACAGACTGTGAGGAAGAGGAGGATGATGATGAAGAGTGTCTCTTGTTGATGTTAAGCAGAGTTGAGATACTCCAGAGCGACTTCATAACAGAACTTATACTGTTCCTGTAGAGACACACAGAGGTACGAGGTCACCAGAGGTGTGTTTGTGTGTGTGCATGTGTGTGTGTGTGTGCATGTGTGTGTATGGGTGTGCATGTGTGTGTGCATGTGTGTGTGTGCATGTGTGTGTGTGTGTGCATGTGTGTATGTGTGTGCATGTGTGTGCATGTGTGTGTGTACGTGTTACTTACCAGCAGGTCCACCATGTTTGGTTTGTTGTTTCTCAAAGTTTTCACAGCGTGAAAAACATCAACGCAGCGTTGCTGTCGTAGCATCTCACAAACTATACTGATACTACAGAAGACTCCACTACGACCTCCTCCATTCCTGAGGAGGAGAGAGGAGAGAGAGAGGAGGAGAGGAGAGAGGAGGAGAAGAGAGAGGAGGAGAAGAGGAGAGAGGAGAGAGGAGGAGAATAGGAGAGAGAGGAGAGAGGAGGAGAGGAGAGAGGAGGAGAAGAGGAGAAGAGGAGAGAGGAGGAGAAGAGGAGAGAGGAGAGAGGAGGAGAAGAGAGGAGAGAGGAGGAGAGAGGAGAGAGAGAGGGGAGAGGAGAGGAAAGAGGAGGAGAGAGAGAGGAGAGAGGAGGAGAGGAGAGAGGAGAGAAGAGGAGAGGAGAGAGGAGGAGAAGAGGAGAGAGGAGGAGAGGAGAGAGGAGAGAGAGAGAAGAGGAGAGAGGAGAAAGAGATGAGAGAGGAGGAGAGAGAGATGAGAGGAGGAGAAGAGGAGAGAGGATAGAGGACGAGAGGTGAGGGAGAGGGGAGAGAGGAGGAGAAGAAGAGAGGAGAGAGGAAAGGAAACAAGCAGAGAAGATATTACAGTCAGATTGTGTTTCCATGTTTTCTCCACTAGATGGAGACAAAATGTCACTGATGAACTCAAGAAAACAGCTCAGCATTATTAGCACTTTTAGTATCAGTATTCTATCAGTGTACTATCTCCAGTACTATACTGCAGTATCAGTAGTAGTATTAGTGTACTATCTATGTACTGAAGTACCAGCAGCAGTAGTAGTATTGCAGTATCAGTAGTAGTAGTAGTAGTACTCTTACAGGCAGTGCACCACCGTGCGTCCTTCTCCTCCGTCGTACTCTTCCTGCCATTTGTCCACCTGGTGGACCAGTTTTAAGAAGGACCTCTTGGAGACCGGCGTGTCTCGGTACATCGGCCAGCCGAGGAACTGGAACTGCTGTACCATCCGGTACCCGTCCTGAGGCTGGAGGATACAGGAAGGAGACAGGGAGGAGAGGATGCTCAAAACAAGCTCGCCCAAACGGCAGGAAGGGGTGGAGAAATCAAACACACCCTCAAGTCAAATCAAACACACCCAGCCTAAACCCTGAGAGGAAGGAAGGAGGTGAGCAAGGACGGACATGAGGAAATAATGAAAGGAACAGAAAGTAGGATTTACAAAATAGAGACTAGGAGGTAAGAAAAGGAAAATATAAGGACATAGGAAGGAAAGCAGGTATGCAAAGGAAGGAAACGAAGGGAAGAAAGTGGTAAGAAAGGAAAGGAAGATGCATGTGACAGCAAAGGACATTAGTGAAGCAGGAAAGTAACAAAGGTAAGAAGGAAAGGACTGTACTTGTGTCTCTCTCTTCAAAAGCTCTTTAACACTACAAATCATCATTTACCCATTCATATACTTACCAGAACTATCTAACATCCACACCCATTCATACACTGATCACAACTATCTA